CGTCTTGAAAAACAGCTTCAGAACGACCTAAAACAAATTGAAGGGGACCCTAACTGGATAAGCCAGTGGGATTATCAGGGTCAAAAGTCATAAATAATGACTTGAGGGAATTTGAAAATAAGCACTTATTAGATAAACTTCAGAGAATTAGATTGAGACTATCTTCTGCGTTGACCGTGATGCATGTCCCTTTCAACAAATAAGATGGATGCTAATCTGTACTCACGGATTGGACCAGTCTAATGCAGTAATGCACACAGCATGTGATTCCATGTTTTTTTCGTCTAGTTGTCTTTGGAAATTGGAAATTAAAACTTGCTAATCATTACATTAATCATGGGTTTTAAACTTTTATAGACGTGAGACATGCCTGGCCGTTAAAGTCTTATTCTGTGCACTCGGATTTTCACTGTACCTACCAGTAATATTGTCACTCCGAGAGCTAGGAGATAAACCGCCCTACATCAGAGAAAATAATGTTTCAAGTTTGCGAAATAACCATGTGGAGGTGAAACTGAGTCTTACCTGTCTTTTCAATGTAAGCTGGGGAGTGTATTGGTGCATGTTCTTCCCCTTGGACTAGAGTGTCGCAGAGCCTTAAGATGGTTCTACACTTCTCAGTCAGTCTTAGAAGAAATAACTTGGTATTATTTCCCACTGAAAAATAATGTTCACTTAATTAGGTCTAAGTACTTTTGCATCATATAGTGGGTCATTCACATGACTCTCATCGTTCAATCAACCAGGAATAAAACAGGCGATGTCCATAAATTTGGATGTATTTGGATAAAGTGTTCATTGAACTGGACAGTGTATCATCTGTTAGCTATTCTAAACAGATAGTGTGTGTTTCATTTTGTTTATTCGCACCAATAAAAACAATTTTATTCACAACGGATCAACGAATTCCCAGATTATCCTCGTAAAATGACGAAACTCTTTTGCCCCTCAAGCGAAATTCAAAAACAGATTATTTTGTTCACGATTATTAATAGATCGGATTGACACAGTGACACTACCAGGCAATGTTTGGCACTGTAAATTCTATCTCTTCAACTTCCATAACTTCGTTTTAGCTTAGTAAAACAGTATAAGTGTAAGCATCTGGCGCATAAACATTGCAATTACGGTGATTACCTGTCACTTCAGACAGTTTGATACTGCAGAAGTCCGCAGCCATATAATATCTATCTATATATATTCTGAAAATAATAATTACAGAATTCACCCCCAGTTTACAGGAATGATAATTTCAATATAAATAGTAACATTAGATGTGGAGAACAAACATGTGATCTAAAATTATTTTAGGTTTGCTAGTTAAGCAGTTGTTTAGGTAGTAAATTTATGACATGTATTACAGAAAACCAATACATCAGCAGGGAACTTTTAATTTTTTCTCAAATAGACAACCTCTTAATTTATGAACGGTGTAATTTAAGTTTATTTATACTGTGCCAGAACGAAATAATGATAATTATCTACAACTACATAAAGTAAAATGAAAACAGAGAGCACGGAACGACTAAATAATGATTACCAAAATATGTCAGTCAGGTCTTCCACTGATGATGTTAGATAATATTCAAATAAGTAAAAGTTCATAGCGATAGTGTTAACGTAAAGTAACAGCAGGTAAGTGGTTATACATTTAAAATTCCTATAATCTCACTTGTGCATGAAGATACACTTACAGGCGCTAGAACACTTAACACATTTTCAGAGGAGCAGTATGCATCCATGCAGCGAACGAATGATTGGAGAGATTTTATCATACGGATAGATTGTGGTAGATTATTCCAGAGTCTAGAAAACTTACAGGTAAAATAATTCATATGGAGAGATGACTTAGAATGGGTTTGTTTCGTTAGTGACAAGCAGTTACTTATGTAGTAATGAGAAGTTTCTGCAAACTGAATTGCTTGGTTGGATGTAAAAGATAGTTAATTAAGTATTTTAAAGAAGAGTAATAAATTTAGTTTGAGTCTCCTCTTCCATAAAGGGTCGAGCCCAGGTTTATTACATCTAGATTTACAAGTCCAATCAGTTCCGAGAATACAAAGTCTAAATCGTCTTTGCACTGATTCCAGCCTTAATTGTTCCTTTATGCAAGCACTACTTAGAATAAACGTGCTTTATTCTAGGAGTGGTCGGACAAAAACTTTATTTTCATAGTTGAAATCGAGAGCGAATCTCGCGAGGTGGGATCGTGGATGCGCACTGCTCAGGAGTCCCATAATAGAACGAAAACGGCCATCCAGTGCTTCCAGGTTTTCCATAGTGGTTCAGCGTTGATTGACTCATGATTTCAACTATGAAAATACTGAAATCTCTACAAAACCCCTTCTGACAAACTTTGTACATTAAATTACGTGGTTCATTGGTAAAATGGTTTCGAGTTATGCAACCTATAAGACGTTGAGACTTGGAAGTCTGTCTCAATATTTGTTCTCTAAACAGCAAGTCGTAGGAGTACCGTAGTCCTAAGTCTACTACTGTATGTAACCTAGATAACACTTCACCATTTATGGCAAGATCCAAGTTGGATAATGTATCACCGAAGCCTGTGCATCCACATTTTGCTGCATTAAGCTCCAGCTGCCATTTTAAGCACCGCTGTGCTACCTTGTTAAGCTCCATGCTGATGCAATTTTGAATATTGTTCAGCTCATGTGGAGAAAATGAATACACTACTTTAAGATTGTCTGTATAGAGAAGGGCCTTATCCACACAAAACCGTTCACAAATATCATTGGTAAACACCAAAAAGAGCAAATTGCTTGAGAAAGTACTTTGTATTACACCACTTCTAACAGGGACAACGCTCGACGATGAAGAGTTAATTTTAAATATTTGATGTCGGTTGCTGAGGAAAGAATCAAGCCAGGCAAGCAAAGGATTTTTGGACCCCATAAAATGCGAGTTTATCTACGAGAAGTTGGCGGTTGACCATGTCGAAAACTTTAGAAATGTCCAGCTATAGCAATAATACTAGATATCCCTGGCTACGGAGAGGATAGACTGAATAAAAGAAGTCAAAGTTACATGTCATACAAGATTGATTTTTAAGAAATCCATGTTGCGTATAATTGATAAATTTTTAAGTCAGTAAATAGTTGGATAGTTCGTCACCAATATTTTTTCCCATAATCCAAGAGAAAACTGGAGTAATATTTATCGGCCGACAATTGTTCATGTCAGTTTTATCTCCAGATTTGTAACGTGGTATGATGTACGCATTTTTCCAACAGTAAGGGTAAGAATCTGATTCCGTAGAGAGAGTAAACAGCTTTAGGAGAAGAAGTAGAATATTCCGTCTGCTCCATGACCTCTTGAAACCTCATGGGTATTTGTAGCCTTTTTAATTATCTAACATGTGAAGGAGATAGATTTTATTGAGTTACTAGTCACGCACAAAACTATTGAAACAGCCCCATTTAACGAATTCTTGGTCATTTGTAAAAATACCATTGAAAAGGTCTGCTATAGTTTTAGATTCGTATATAAAGCTGTTATTATGCAGGATGCATGGTATATCAACATTCTGAGTTAATTTAGTGTGTTTATTGAAATGAGGAATTAAGTTTTGTACTTTTGAGCTAGTATTAGGTGCTAATAGCTCCTTAATAATGGCCTTTGATCTACGCCTCTCTTTAATTTGGTTGACTGACAACTACCAGTACTCCAGGTGGACCTAGGATAATTGAAATTTCGAGTGATAATCTTAGTATCGAAGTTTAGAGCAGATGCATGTCTAGATGCTTGTTATTGAGATCATTCACATTATCTGAACTATCAGGAGCATATATAACACAACCACCTCCTCACTTAGTTTCTCTGTCACAGCGATAGGGTCGATAGTTCTGGATATTTAATTCTGAATCAGATACTGCTTGATAGCACCACGTTTCAGTGATAAGTAGGGAAGAAGGTTTGGTTAGAAAAGCTAAGGTTCTCAAGGCTGAAATTTTCTTCAAAAGTAAACGTGTATTAATAAGTAATAAGTTTAAAAATGGAGTATGGAGTATGTGTTCTAGATTTGCCTGGACTATGGTTTGATATGTTTGACTGATTGTGTGGGCCATAGCTTGAACAAACTGTAGTGCTAGTGGGACCAGGGAATTCTGAAGGCCGAAAAATCATTATTTTGATAAGGTGGATTAATTTGTTGAACTTAATTTGGTAGAAAGTTAAGACAGGCACCTGCTAGTTGAGGTTGCGTTGGAAGGTTATCGATTAGTCGAGAAATGTTTGGTCAAAGTTGACTAACAGTTGCAAGAGATGTGTAGCACGACGTTACACTCGTGATCTTGTGTGGATACGTGTTTGAGCGCCTTCAGCTAAGTGTGTTCATTGAAACTAATGAGGTCAGACACTTTTGTGATCTTGGCAGGTATGTTATGGAGCTTCATGCCAAGAGTTTGAGTGACGGTATCCACGATAAATCTTTCAAAATATAACGTCCGAAAAGATCTTTGGTTTCATATGTACGCGCGAGGATTTCTTTAAGTGTTGCTTCTCTTCCACTTCCCCATGAGTTGTTTTGCCCCTCAGTTTTTATAGGGACTATGGCAAGAATCATATCTCCCCATAACTAATATTCTCACTTCTACTAACCAGACACAGATTCGTTGGAACGAATGGGTCACTTATTCTGTCGTAAAAAGTTTGATTATCGGCTCCTTGAGAAAGTTGTGATGACACGTTCTGGTGATTTAGTCAACACAGTGTCGACAACTACTGTAGGCTCTATGACAAGGCGAGAGATTACTTTGGGGACTTCTACTTAGTTATTGGCACTAATATTTCGTTACTTCATATTATTTAGGAATCAGAGTACTAGTAACTCATAAACAAGAATGAGAAATATTTCTAATAGTTCAAAATATATTACACGGTTTACATTTCGCCATTTATGTTCAATAGAGTTTGTATAGTCGTTTGAAAGCTAGCGGGCACTTACATTTCGCATTTCTTCGTATGACAGCCCAGCTAGAACAGGGGTTGCCGCTTTTTCGCACAGGTGAGATACATGCATCTTTTGTCAAATCTTTAGAACCATTTTTTTGAACAGTGATTGTTCCATGACACGCTTTTTATTACATTACCGGCTGTTACTGTTGTTAGGATGGTTGTGAACAGCTTAGTTTAGTTACTTCTCGTCTTACAGCTGGCAACCTAACCCCATATAGATTACAGTAATAGTTTAAACAACTGTTATGCTGACAGTTATTTTAGAAGGAATACTGTCATGATATTTCGCACAGTCATACTCTACTAGAAAGACATTGCTCCAGGATGGAGCACGAGAGCTCACATGAAGATCTGCGAAAACTTCCTTGCTATTAGAATATGTAAGTCCAAAGTTTTGTGCGTAAAGCTATTGTCACTAGGTCTTCCTGTGAGTTTTCGAAATCTCGACCCTTCAGTCATGTCGGTGTTCGTGAAGACTGAACTGGGTATCTCCATTCAATTACTCATCACCACTCCATGTTTTTCGTTTATGTCAGAGAGAGATAAGACAAGGGTCGCGCTAAGTAGCCAGGACCATTATCCGACTACTGAGGTCCCGAGTTAAAGACTATGTGCTACTTCAGCCCGGTGTCGAAAATTATGCAGTATCACAATACTCTTTTGTAATGTCATAGCAATAACTGCCGACACTGTGCTCTAGAAAAAATATCCCATGACTTGGTGCAATACATGAATCCGTATTACTACCATGCAAAGGCGTGTGATGGTAGTAATAACTTCATTCGGTGTGATCAGTCTCTTATTCTCTGAAATCATAAGTTGATGAACAATTATGACAATCAATAGTTTGGTGCACCAGAGGCTTAAAAGCATTTAGACTTACAGTTTCTTAAATAAGAAGTTTGCATGCTCTAATGGCAATATCTCACCGGGGAAATACAGCCAACACCTTGACGTAGTGGTGGAGCATGGCCAAAATACCTCTCTATCTAGTTCTTGCCTTACCAGACAGGTCAGTTGGGAAACAGTGAAGCAGATACATTATGGTATAAGGGCGACCGTTCATCCAGGGATATGATGGCAGTAGGATTTTTCCCTCGGAAAACTCGCATCTCCAGGGTTGTTAGCTCCCCACAACGGAAGGAGGTCAGAAAAGGTTGACTACATGGATTCCTGTTGTGGGCAATAAGGTCTGAAAATTACTGATCCAACACACCAAAATCTACACCATAGAAAGCCGTTTGTGATCATCCGTAAAAAAACGTTCCTTGGACTTTGTGTTCGCGCTGGAAAGTTGTAAAGACTATCTTTAACCTATTTTCACCTTCAGGTTCCTTACGAAGTATCCTTTAGCTTCGTAGGCAACGAGGAAGATACAATTCCCGTCGTATCTCTATCATTTCTGCACATCACTAGCCACTTAATAAAGCTTTTGTTCCGTTTCCAACTCTACTGATTTATTGTAAAACTATGTTTTTCCTTGGATTTCATGTACTAGAATATATCATAGATCTTGCTGAAATCCGTGAGTTTTGCATTTACAGACATCTACTTACCTTAGAAGCCGCCTAACCCTAGTAGTTTGATGACCTGCTTGTTCAATTTTCACTATCTCACTCTATTTGTGGCTCCAAATATGCATAATCGCTCTTTGAAAGGCATAGGTACCACTTATCATAGTACAATTTCGTGGGTTCAAAATTAAAGAACATACGTAGGTTACGTTTCCTTGATCGTAGAGATCTGTTAACTGCTTATGAATAAACCTCGAATTGGAAATGGTTTTCTATCCTCATATCCAGTTACCATAAACATTAGTCTAAACATAATTACTGTGATATTAGCTATTTTATTTTGCCGTTCAAACTGGGCACGTTGGATATAGTCTGTTTACGTGACATTGGTAACCAAAGATTTTTAACCTTGTTTTTTATTCCTCAATAATAGTTGTATTAGATCAGAGTTGTTCGTTTTATGTCTCATAAGCTTAGATAAAGCACTATTCTATACTTTTCGTTCCTTATTTTTTGAGTGTTTTTTGATATCAATATCTTTATTTCATTGTTTTACTTTTGCTCTTTGACAAATAGTGGCATTTGTTCTGTTCTATTCTGGCCACACATCAAAAGTCTTAAAGCTTAATAGACTTCTAACTAAATTCCTTCAGATTCTACGTGTTCTCCTTCGTTTTCCCTTGCTATGTCCACAATTTCAAAATCATTTATCAGCTGTCCAAACATAAGAAATGTTTCTGTCCATAGAAAGCTTTCACACATAGTTGCCTTCAAAGTTTAAACTATGACGACCCTCTTTACGGGTAATAAATAGTCACGGATGCATTTTGAGTTTCTGAAATGCGTATGCTTGGTTTAATAATAGCCATTAATTTATCTCCTTACTATATAAAAATCACGGCATTACCTTTTCTGTTAGTTTCTTAACACTAAAATTTTTTTCATATTTGCACCAGAGTAGATATATTTCAGGATACATAAACCCTGTCCTGCCTACTTCGGTTTGGGTAACTGAGTACCATTCTTGACCCTCATAGCAAGTGTGGCTATAAGCCTAATACGCAAACAACGTTTTGATACTAGACGTAAAGTATGTTCACCGTCTTTACAGACCATGAATACGCTTACAGTCTTTCGAATTCTTTACAACCGTATTCATTAAGCTACTGGTCTGTGTTCATCAGTAGCTGGTAAACACATCACTTTACTAAGATTTCTGCTTCTAACCTTAGACTTACTAAGTCTCACTATTGTTTGTTTTCATAAAGTAGTAAATATTACCTTAGACTCGGTTGTCAGTCTGCTTTTGTTGATAAATCTTTCTTCTACTTCTTTTGTTGACTTCTCGTTTTGCTATTGTAAGATTTTGGCAATCTGAATCAGCACACATTCGTTCTAGTTCCTACATTGTCTGATTGAATGGATCCTAAGACCAATTAATTGTGTAGGTTGATTCTGGTTATTTGTTGCTTACCTATTCGGGATCCATAAAGCACCACTCAATGGAGTGTACTTACTTACTTAGACCTGTATACTACAGAGATGTAAAGTAAGATTTAATAAAGATTTGAAGAGATATTTGATGTGTAAAGTTATATGCCAATCAAGGTAGGATTAAACTATACTGCCGAGCCAATCAGAAGCTTTCGCGGGTTTTCAAGGTCACGGCGCCAAGTTCGGTACCTGATGCTTACGTATGGTCGGTTTACAGCGGATTTTAGGGAAGACGTGATAATAGCGTCTACAATAGAAGTGATCATAAGATTTTGGCGCGAAATTCAATTATCCATTTGGATAAATAGAGTTTTGGCATTATAGCTGATGTCAATTCGTGATGAAAACCCTAAGTATAATTCCTAGCCTTAATCATGAACTGTAAATCATAATTTGAATTCTTCACACATGTTTATAACCCTCGTTTGGTCTTAGTTATTATGTTGACACTCTCAGAGTCACTCTAGCGTCGCTCAAAGGTTGTCCATAACTTATAGTCTCACCCATAACCCTAAACCCTACACCTAAACCTTAACTCTAACCCTAACCCGTAAACCATACCAATATACTAACATTATTGAAGCTATGTGGTCGAGGCTAAAAGAATTTTTGAGACCTTATCACGGTTTCGGAGGTCGACTACTATGGAGCCATATGGATGTGTTCCTGTACTGTATGCACTATGATTTTAGAACTTCTAAACCTATATCTGACCTTGAGAAGTTTTTGACCCATGTAAAAGAAGTGTTTCCACTTTAATTCTTCGGTTTTGTATAATATATTTTTACTGTATACTAACTGTCTTCTGATTGGCTAATATTTCTCAAGGTCGTTTAAGATTCGTTCAAAGGTCGGCAGTATAGTTTAAAACCTACCGCCAATCAAGTATAGACCTAAATTCTTCGATTGAAATTCCGTTTTACTTCAGTTTGTAGAGCAAAGGTGTGAACCTCAATTTGTCATGTCAGACTTTAGCCTGTTAAACTGTTTCGTACTACGTTTTTCCTAAAATTCGATTCCAACTTTAAAAATGAGTTCTGATGGTAGGTTGTCAACGGAAATTGATTTGAGGGTACGTACTTAATTCACTTCATAGATCTCGATGCAAAAGACGGTCTATTTAACGAGTATAAGCAATAAATTAGACAAATAAAATGAAATAGTTCGCATTCAGATTTAGGGATAAGTCTCTAAACTTTGTAGCCCGTTTTCATAAACAAAAAAGCTGATTATATCAGGCTGTTATGGAAAATCGACCCATTATGAACTCATAGTTTTATCTGAATAATTCGTATGAAACCTGTTACAGTTGAACACCAAATATATGTGTCACACAACTAGAGAGATTATATTGTGAAGAGACAAATAAAGGAGGGAGTGCGACCAAGAAAAAAAGAATAAGTAAACGGGAAAATTGTATGGTAGAGGCTACGGTCAACAGAAAAGCTCAACTCACTGGCAATGTTTGTTTAGCCAGCTGAGTGACACTGATTCCTATTGATGATTTCAACTCAAGCTTCATTTTAAATAATGTTTGGTTGTATCCACCAGCTTTTTCTTGTTATCAAATTTCATTTAAAAATAATTCCCTCTATGCTGTCAATATATTGTAAATTTATTTACTTTGCAGATCCCTTTTTTGATTCGGTGTTGCAATGCAATGCCCAATGATAAGCCAGAATTGCATACTTGTATTGCACTGTTCATATTGCTCATTCAATACACTTCTTTTATCAAATCTCATCAATCACTTCAAGACTGCCCACTCAAGTGCAAATTGTTTGTTTAGTTTGTATCAGTGTCGTCATTGTCAATTAATATCAACATCTTGTCCAGTTCTTACTGAACATTCTTTAATCAATCATATAGAAAAGGAGGTGAGTTTGTTGATTTTGAATGAACTAACATTTTTATGTGTATGATTATAGGTGTCTATTCAGTGTATATATCAGAATCATTCAGGAAATCCAATCTTTACTGGGGAAGCAATGTACGAATGCTTGCTTTGTTCATTCAAAGCTAAAGAAGTTAAAAATTTAACCTTACATTATTTCGCTTTTCATGGTATCAAAAATGCCAGTCCAAATTTGACCAAGCATTTAACTTATGATTATTCATCAGGTTCTTAGTATTATTTGTTTTTCCTTATTTCAATTAATTACTTCAATCAATTAGGATTAAATTACAATTTCCATGATGCAAAATCGTTGTTTATGGGTGATAAACGAAATGCATTTGTCGATCTTAATCAGGATGATGGTGAAATGAGTTCTCATTCAGTAAGTTCTTTCACTTAATGTTGGTTGAATACGTGTTCATTTTTGTTTATCTAGGTTGGAACAGAAAGTGGTCGATTTTCCAGGGGATCTCATCTTAGTTGTAATCATTAGATTTTTTTGCTATTTAATTATTTTTACTCTTTAAGCATCCCAAGTCAACCGAAGTTTAATGCCATATAAATGTACACACTGCGGCAACGCTTATCACAAACGAAAGTATTTTGCCGAGCATGTTTTCTCGTGTTCAAAATCTTTGCAATTAACTTGCCCATGTGGCCGTGTTTGTAAATGGCGATCGAATTTCTATGCACATAGGTTAGTATTCTGTGTAATTTAGTGTGTCTTCGTAGTGAAAGTATTTTCCATTTCATTGTCCAAATAACGAATGTTATGTTTGTGTGATCAAGTAAAGTGTGATAGATTTTAATTGAATAAGTTAATTTAAGGAGTAGTTAGACAGACTGTCTGTTCCATTCTTAAAGCCTTCTGGAGTCAAGGTGTTTGTTGTTTCTCATTATTATCAGAATAGCTTTCTCCATGGAGATTTTGGTAGAATGAACGTTTTTTACATCATTGAGTTATGTAGAACATTTAGAAATAGCGTATACCCTGTAGTCATTTTAGGAATTCCACCTACAGTTTGTGCACCGCTAAATTTCAATATTACGGTCAAGTTTTTTATTAATCAACTCTTCTAACTAGAAGCAACATGCGAACTTTAATAGTCGTAAAGTTACTATTCTGTTCCTTCAGTTTGTACCTAATTGTGATTTTTATATAACTATCATCCGACACGAAAACTACAGACTATCTTACTAAAATTTGACAACCATACAGCAGACAGTTAATTTACAAACTATCAATCTATTGTCTCAATCTTGACCATTTCCTCTGCAAATATCAGTCCATAGTCTCTGATTATTATTGTTCATGTATTTTCATTCCAATTGCGTTTCGTTTTCGTTCTTTCCTTATCGATCTTCTAGTGAAATGCATTCTCTACCTGACCATCGTCATATACTACTTATGTGGATATAAGCAACCCACACCACATTAGTAGTACAGTTAGAAGTGCTTGGGTGAGTGTTAGGCGTAAGTTTTACATCTGCTGCTCGAGCAATAATTCCACTTTTGAAGGATCCATGTTTGCGCCAACCCCATCGCCAAATTCGCTATGTTTGAAGTGATTACGAGTTCACCTAGTCTGCAAACAGAACAAAGACCAATAAGCTAGCTATTCTGATGCGTCCCAGCCCCAGCTCCGCTTTTCTTCCGGATTCCAAGTTAGGGCTTGCCTCGTGATGCAGTTTGGTGATTTCCCTACGTTTCCACGTTTCAACTCAATACAATAGAACTAACCATCTTGACGTTCGAATTGAAGAATGTGACGTTGATATTGGTTGACACATGTTTTGAGTTCCATATGATCTTCAATTGTAGGAATGCGATCCTTGCTTTGCCTATCCTCGCCTTTACATCTGCATCGGATCCTCCTTGTTCATCGATGATGCTTCCACGTTACATGGAAGTTTCCACATCTTCCAGAGTTTCTCCATCAAGTGTGATTGAGCTGATGTTCTCTGTGTTGTATTTGAGGATTTTGCTTTTTCCTTTGTATATGTTGAGGCCTATTGATGCAGAGGCTGCAGCTACAACAGTTGTATTGACCCGCATTTTTTCTTGTGTATGGGATAAAAAGACTAGGTCATCTGCGAAGTCCAAGTAGTCTAATTGATTCTGATATGTCCATTATATTCTGTGCTTCCCCACAGATGTCGAAGTCTTCATGACCCAGCCAATTACCAGAAGAAAGAGGAAGGGGGAGCGTAAGCAACCTTATCTGCTTCCCGTCCTTACTGGAAATGAATTTGTCAGCTGTCCTCCATGCGCCACTTTGTATTGTAGTCCGTCGTATGATAATGTTGACAGTTTTAGGAACTCCATAGTGTCGAAGAAGTTTCCATAGTGTTTTCCTGTCCACACTGTCAAACGCCTTTCCATAGTCAGTGAAGTTGATAGTGGCGAGTTCCATTTAACTGATTGTCCGACGATGATCCGTAGTGTCGCCATTCGGTCTGTGCATGATCGATCCTTGCGGAATCCTGCCTGTTGATCTCGAAGTCGGGTGTCTACTGCGTCTTTCATCCGATTCAGCAACACTCTATTGAAAACTTTATGATACGGACAGTAGTGTGATACCTTTGTAGTTCTCACATTTGCTTTGATCTCCTTTCTTTGGTATCTTGATGAGATATCTTTGTTTCCAATTTGTCGGCACTTGTCCTTCCTCCCAAATCTTCTTGAACAGACGGTGAAGCATGTTTGCAGTTATTTCAATGTCTGACTTCTGTGCTTCAGCCAGTATATTGTCAGGTCCTGCCGCTTTCCCACTTTTGATCTGTCTGATGGCCAACTTGACTTCTTCGATCGTTGGTGGGGTGATATCTATAGAAAAGTTTGTGTGTACTGCTTCGATGTCCGGTGGATTCAATGAAGCTGGTCTATTCAGCAGTTCCTCGAAGTATTCTGCCCATCTTTTCCCCTGTTCTCGAATCACCGTGATTGTCTTTCCTTCTTTGTCCTTGACTGGTCTCTCTGGTTTGCTATATCTCCCTGCCAATTTCTTCGTTGTATCATATAGTTGTCTCATATTCCCTTCTCTGGCAGCTTTTTCCGCCGTCGTTGTTAGTTCTCCCATGTATTTCTGCTTATCGGCTTTAATGCTTTTCTTCACTTGCTTCTGCGTAGTCTGCTCGTGCCTTGACTTTCTCTGCTCGTGTTCCATTGTTGTTAATTGCTGTCTTCTTGTTCTTCCTTTTTGGATCTTGTTGAGGGTTCTCATAGAGATCCATTCCTTATGATGATGCTTCTTGCGACCCAAAACCTCCTGACACGTTGAAGTTATTGCTTCTTTGATCCCTTTCCAGTTGTCCTCCATTGTAGTTTCTTGTTCTTTCAGTAGATCCTGTAGATCTTGGAACCTATTGTTGAGAGTTATCTTGAATTGGTTGAGTTTTTTAGTATCTCGAAGAAAGGTTGTATTGAACCTTTGTAATGCCGTTCCCCCAGTTGTTCAGTGTTTCTTTAGCTTCAGTCTCATCTTGGCCACAATCAGGTGGTGATCTGAAGCTATGTCAGCTCCTCTCCCGGTTCTCACATCTTCCATTGATCTTCGGAATTTTTTGTTGATACAGATGTGATCTATCTGGTTCTCTGTGGTTTGGTCCGATGAGATCCATGTAGCTTTGTGTGGAAATATTGTGCTACCTATAACGAAATTGTTGAATGCACATAGATTTGCAAACCTCTCACCATTCTCTTCCCTCAACCAGTCACTGTCGTCCCATTATATATCTGTGAGATTCACATCCTACAAGTGCATTTCGTGCTTCTCTGGACAGCATTAGAGCAACTCCCTGAGTGTGTGGAGCATTTTCCCCTTCGTGACCGGAGTACAGCAGCCTAACTCCTGTATCTAGCCTTTAATGTCCAGCTTGTGTCTAATGGGTTTCGCTTATTCCAAGTACTGACAATTTGTATCTCCTCATTTTCATTGTTATTTGACTGGTCTTCCACCTTGTCCGAGTGTTCAGTGTATCTATAAAGAGTGTTGCTCTGGTTGCTAGAAGGGGCATCGGCCTTGTGACTTCCGAAGCATCTCGGCTTTCACTCTGAGACGTCATAATTCTTCCTTCAACTTTCAGGGTAGTTTTTAAATGGTTTGAATTATTTTTTCTGGTTAGCGTTTTGTAGCGAGTTGGATTTGACGAGGTGGGGTCCCTAACCTTATGCCCAACCCTCCTTTACCCGGACTTGGAACCGGTGGTAACTCTAAAAGAGCTACAGGCGGGGCTAGCTCAGTCGGTAGAGCATGCGACTCCTAATCGCAGGGTCGTGCTTTCGAGCCTCACGTTGGGCGTCGTCCGGTGTGGCAGTGCACCGTGTCTGCTAGATGCTTAACTCAAGTCACTGAAGTCGTTTATTAAATATGTTCAAGTCACTTATAATCAGGATGGAGCCTGAACAAATGTCAGCCCAAGTTACTAAACTGTCATTACAGGGAGACTACTCAAACAAGATACATCACAAAAATTCGAAGTAATCGTATTATCGGTGATATTGAGAAAGACCACATATCACAGAATACACCGGTTATATCCAACGTATAACCTAATGCGTGTTCATCGGTTTCAGTTGTCACATCGAACTAGTACGTCGAGATGAAATTGTCAAGGTAACTCCTAGAGTAATAGAAGATACGGTTCGAGGAGAAAGTATGGATTAATGGAATAAGAAGAAAGTAGGGGATCTTTTCTAAGGTAAGTTAGAAACTTAAGATCTAAAAGAAAGCAAAAACAATGCACCTGACCCACTTGTAACTTTAAACTGTATCACCCGAAGCCTCTAACCATTAGTTACGTTAACTGCGTCGACCCTAACCAAATGGTCTACATGTTTCAGGCAAACAGTCAAAGTATTCATATATGTTTACATATTTAAAACCCAAACATGTACTTCGAAGTGCCGTTTCAAAGGACTTGCGGTAGTGTTTGTTTAATTGAAATGTCGAAATTGGTGTTACTTGTGGACAAAGTCGAAGAAAGAGGAAAAAGATTGATAGTAGAAATACAATAAATATTAAAAACTAAACAAGTGTTCCAGTCGCTTACACATTTAACTCGGATAGTTTCTAAAGATATGAAGAAATCTGTTACTTCCTCGTTGCCCACGAAGCAAAAGGATACTTCGTAAGGAACCTGAAGGTGAAAATAGGTTAAAGATAGTCTTTACAACTTTCCAGCGCGAACACAAAGTCCAAGGAACGTTTTTTTACGGATGATCACAAACGGCTTTCTATGGTGTAGATTTTGGTGTGTTGGATCAGTAATTTTCAGACCTTATTGCCCACAACAGGAATCCATGTAATCAACCTTTTCTGACCTCCTTCCGTTGTGGGGAGCTAACAACCCTGGAGATGCGAGTTTTCCGAGGGAAAAATCCTACTGCCATCATATCCCTGGATGAACGGTCGCCCTTATACCATAATGTATCTGCTTCACTGTTTCCCAACTGACCTGTCTGGTAAGGCAAGAACTAGATAGAGAGGTATTTTGGCCATGCTCCACCACTACGTCAAGGTGTTGGCTGTATTTCCCCGGTGAGATATTGCCATTAGAGCATGCAAACTTCTTATTTAAGAAACTGTAAGTCTAAATGCTTTTAAGCCTCTGGTGCACCAAATTTTTATTAGTATCATAGTTCAAATGCGATTAAAAAACTATCTGCATAATGTGTAGTTAAAATTTCGTGATCCTCTTGATTGTGTTAATAAAATATCCTTTTTTAAAATTTCAGAAAATCATGCGCCGTTTATAAACAACTTGTAACTGGAGGCAGTCATCTCTCTGTCTTTCGTCGTCGAGGTCTAACTTTGTCTACATCAAGCATCAATGATGATTCTGATAGCATTACTAAAGAATCAGTCACTTCCAGCGAACATCTGCTTGATATGTCAACTAATCCAAAAGATTCTTCTACTGTAAACTTAATTGGTGGAAATAATTTAACTCCCTTAGTTTCTTCATCTTCTACACCCGAAATTAATCCCCAGTCTAATGCAGATTCTAGCATTGATGTATTTGGAAATCATTCTGATTCCCTTCAAACCTCTCTCACCTACATAACTCCAGTTTCATCTCTAGCCACATCTATTCCAACTTATGTTTCTAATGAAAATATCGAAACAAATAATTTAAATCATGCTGTATCTAGTAATTCGATGGTCACATCCGCCTCTATAATTCATGCACTAAGTCAAACTTCTAATTTATCCGTATTAGTTGATACACGTTGCCCTGTCAGTAATTATCCTTCAAGTCAAATAAATGAATGCACCGCTGCTAATACGGAAGGTGGATTTATTCAATGTGTATCATCAAAAGGTGAACCGCTTATCATGTTTCCTGGTATGTGATCTGAAAAACTTGAATACACAATTTTACTCTCCGGTCAAATATATATATATATATATATATATATATATATATATATATATATATATATATATATATATATATATATAATACTTCAACACTCAATTGAAAATTCCAAGAAACCAAAATGCTTTAAAACTATTTTCACAGTATATCTTTTTATTGTATATGTGAGAACGAATTAATTTACTCTCCTATCTTATTGATTTCTCCTTTTTTTCGTGTAACTTCTGTATAAAAAGTTGTCATTTTGTTTAAATTATTGCTTCTATCTTCAAATGTGCATTGTTCATGAAAGGATCAGTCGACTAAATGTCGTCACAAGTTTGTAGCAATGTAAATTTCTTGAAAATGCAATATAGGCTTTTCTTTAAGAAATCTCAACCAATAGACAAAGTTTGCAATACTTATCATGTTTTTCAAGTGAGCAAAAAAATTCATGTTTTTGACTGTACAACATTAAAAAAACACGTTTAGGCTTTAATTAAGCTGACATCTTTTAATTTTAATTTATGATGTAGAAAACATTTGTAAATTGATTGACGACTAATTAAATGACAATGCGAACCAAATAATTTTTGGTGAACCAGGAAATGTTATTTGTACATATATATATTTCGGCTTAAAGCACTGATTGGTTTCGTCAGTCGTTAGCCAAATAATATAATGTCAAAGGGATCCCAACTTAAACGATAATTTGACAGTGGTAAGTATTCACTCTAAATGTCAGGGGTCATTTCAGTCGCTAGTAAAATATTCGAAGCTGAATTTCAGCCGTTTGTTAATTGCACTCAATATCCCATGTACTGGGATTTACGAAGCTGCGCTTTTTTCAAACTAGTCTACTCGCTGACTCTGTATCATATTACTGTCATGATAAATATGGTAGCAGTGCTCCATTTTACTTCAAATGTAGATTAGAAGAATCCAGTTTATTTAGTTCCAGATGTAATTTCTACCCAAATAAGGCGCATCATTATGTTTTTCATACCATGAATAAACAGGACATCGGTCAGTCACAACGTTAAACTTCGTACGTACGTATATCAGCTCGAGTTGCCATACCACATCAGCACAGAGATGCAGTTGTCAATTCAAATCCCATAGTGGTAGATGTAGTAAGAGCATAAGCAGTAATCTGAAAGATTAGAGTTTGAAGATGTTATTGAAGGAGTATAATACAGTGAAATAAGTTTGGAAAGAGAAAAAGATAGGGACATGAAGAATTCTGGAGAACATGAAGGGTGGATGCACCTTTGTCACTGCAAACGATTTCGAGCAATGTCATTCAAGGTCTCTAACGATCGATTGCTATCATCTCGCGAATCCCAACCAGGTAGTTCACACCTACCAGCATGGCTCAGACCACTTGTCAGTGACTTCATGGATTTGTGCCACGCTTTGGTCAGACCGCCACTAGCTTCCAACCTACTACTACACCATAAAACATCGCTCGCCGGGGCAGTCGGTGGTTGTGTATACGTAACACGTGTCCCAGTCATCTCAACTGATGAAGTTTCCCTACTTCATCAATCGATTTTCCATCCTTACCTAGTACCCGTTTCCTAACAATTGGTCCCAGGATATACTTGCAATGCTTCGAAGACACCTATGATAAGTGAAACGGTCGATACGCTCAACTACTTCACTTCCTACCATTAGTTCAGGTGTCGATGCAATCCGATCCTGAAGTAACATTTTGCACTTCGAGAGGGAGAATCGCATCCCGAACATGCATGCATTGTTGCTTATAGTGGTCAGAAGACTGCATTTTGTCAGCGTCTTCACCAAATAGAACTATGTCGTCGGCGTATTCTAAGTCAACAAGTGAATCTCCCGGTAAAAGTTCAACTCCTGGAGATTTAGATGAGGAAAATGTTATCTCTAAAAGCATGTCAACGACAAAGTTAAACAAGAATGGGGAGAGTGGACAGCCCAGACGAACACCACTTGAGGTAATCGATTCTGATGAAAGTTCTCAATAAGCTCTAACTCGACCAGTTGTGTTCGATTAGAGAGCCTTTATGAGGTTAATGTACTTCTTTGGTACTCATTTCACTGACAAACACTGCCACACGATCAACGAAGTCAAATGCCGCCTTAAGGTCGAGAAATACTACTATTGTGGGACGTCTGAATGTATGTCTATGTTCTAGGACCTGACGTAGAGTGAATATCTGGTCTATGCAACCACGTCCAGGTGGAAAACCAGCTTGGTCTTCTCTAGTCTGCTCTTCACGAGCTTTGGTTAGGCGTCCGAGTATTATTGAAGCTAATATTTTAGACACTATATTAGTCAAACTAATCCCTCTGTGATTGTCACAAGAGGATTTTTGTCCTTTCTTATAGAGTGGCACAATCAGTGATTGGGATCAGTCAGATGGAATTACGTCCAGTTCCCAGATTCTACCTAAGACCTCAGTCAATCTCGTTGCTAGTACTGGACCATCATCCTTAATAATCTCAGGGGTAAACCTGTCAGGGCCTGCTGCTCTCCCTCGTTTCAGACTTCCTATAGTTTTTTCGATCTCGTAAAGAGTTGTCATTCAGGACGACTGGGGATCGTAGGTAACGGAAGTGTAGCTGAAGGCCAGTTGAACTGATCTCTAAAGTGTTCTACCCATCGATCCAATCTCCTGGATTGAAAACGAATAATATGTCCATCTTTTTCAGAGAAAGATTCGCTAATAGTTGGGTTCCTAATACTGGTTTCTTTAATAAGTCTGAACAGTTGTCTGCTATTGCCGCTGTCTTTTCTATCTCTCTTGCTTCCTCTACCCACCACTATTCGCGATCATTGCGTAAGCTCACTGTTAGTCTGTGCTTAAGCTGACTCGGCTCTTCATTATGTTCAGAGCCAGATGGGATGTTTTCGAGCATCTATCAGTGCGGTAGATGCTGCTGAGATCCAGTGTTTCTCCCTAACCTTATGCTTTGCCGTACTAGCAGATATCCCTCCTGTTTCCACATCTTTTCAGAAGTAATTCCACGCTGCTTCGGGGTGGTCAAAACATACATGGCTGCCTAACTGTTTTTCCAGTTGTTCCTGAAATATATTCTTATCTTGCCTATCATTAAGTAGAACATTAAGACGTTTCCTTGCAGTGTCCTTCCTGCGTCCAGTAAGGCGCAGACAGATACGTGCTCGCACTAGAGCATGATCTGAATCTGAGCATGTGCTCCAGAATAAGCGACAGTCTTCTATCGAGCCCCTCCATCGGTGGCTGATAGCGATGTGATCTAATTGGGTCCAACGTTGGGACGAATTCGGGGGTCGCCATGTCAAAAGATGTTTTTCCTTATGCTTAAAGTTAGTATTTGCAAGAAATAGGCGGTTATCTGAGCATAGCTGCAACAGACGGTCGCCATTATCTGTTCTTTTCGCCATGACACCATAAGATCCACCCAAATGTCTTTCACTTAGTTTACCTACTTGAGCATTAAAGTCACCAGCCACTATTACTACATCACAGCGCCTAGCTTTTCGAGGTAAGACAGTTTCCTGTAAAACTCATCTTTTATATCGTCTGAGCTGCAATCAGTGGGAGAGTAGGCAGAGACGACGAAGAGGCAACGACGAGTGTCCCTATATATCCGAGTTCTTACTGTTCCGTTTAGTCGGACAGCGCACAGACGACTGTCTATTGGGATCCGGTCAAAAAGAGCTAGTTTTACCCTAAGACTCAATGTTATACCTACTCCGGCGAGGCCACGGGAAGCAGCATCAGGGCTTCCAGGTGCACGAAGCGTGAATCCAGTTGGTTCTTTATTATGACATTGTGAGGTCAAATGAATGACTCTACTCCGATCTTGTATGCGCGTTTCGGAGACGCAGCACACATCGATGGTGCGAGATTTTAAAGTCCTAGCTAAGGAAGCCTGTTGTCCTATTTGGCACTGTGTTTGGACATTAAAGGTTCCTACATGTAGTTTAGAGCGTGGTTCCAGGAGACCAAGAATAACGTTCCGTGTACTCGAATAGGTTGCCCTATCGGTGCGAGGTGATAAGAGGACGTGAGAAGGGTTAGTCGTGGAGATAAGAGAGTTATTAGGAGGTGTAGGAAGGATTTGAATATGACCAACTTGGTCTCATGTGTTGTTACGGGTATGAGGGCTGATATCCCCTCCCGACTGCCCACACCGTGGGAGGGTATTTCTTGGGGGACCTGAAAAGGAAGTTGGATTAGTGTTGGTCTTAACGACCTAGGAGCGTGACCGCCCAGTCCAAGGGACAACTGTTTGAAGCCGGTCACTCACGGCCTTTTTGTGGGGGATTTTCGACGTGTTAGCCCTTGTACGGCCGAGTGTGGAGTGAGTCCGCTCTCCCTCTCGAAATGCTCTCATATACCCACGCGTATATAACCTCTGCCAGGGAAGTCGTACTCACTGCCTTCTCATGGCATGGGTGTTGTTTACGAAGTTGAGAGGATGAAAAGCGAATGTTCGGCGTTTTAATTGGGTTGGTGGACACGGCGAGTCCACCTAGGGGAGTTGGAAAACCCTGATTTCAAACGAATGGTGCACATGGGCTCCAGTATCCTGAGGAAACAAATGGCGTATGAATTAATCGCTGGTCACCGGCTACCATGGGACTGCATCTTCTCACGATGCTCCACTGCCTTGTGGATCAGACCCTTAGGTCAATGGCTCCGGTTGTGACCCCCTAAGAAAACCATCTGCTCCAGTTTGGACACCTTGGCAGTATCACAGCCCTCACACAAATCGGATGAGATTTGTGCGGCCCATATATATTTGGTGCCCTTTTGTACCAATATTTGTGTGTTCAAATAAATAAATAAACTTTGGGATCCATTTATGAATCAATATTATGGATATAATTTTTATCGTATATTTGCTAAATAATTAAACTACTCATATTCATGTTCCTTTCACTGTGAGCTTTATTTTGACCCTTGGACTGTTATTGTACGATTTACCATTCCTGAGTTATACCCAGTCTATTAATTACTGCTCCCGCTATTCATATTCACATTTGGCTAACTCTTGTACAAATGTTATCTTCCATTTTATTGGTACGATGTGGTCAGTCTGTTTGGTATATGAACTCAGTATTTTTGAAATATAATGATTCATACCACAGAGGCTGTTATTGGTGTTTTGGACTTAACTGGCTGGACTGGGCAGAAGCCGGATCGATAAGCGCTCTAGACTGCTCGTACGGTTTTCGTGTGTCACTGTTCCAATCGATAATTCGCTGCTCTCTGATTGACGGTCTTATCAAGTCATACATTAACTAGGCATCCACTCGGCCACAACATAGAACAGATATATTTGGTTGGACGCTATCGACAATTTCGACAGAGATTAGCTATAGAAATTCACCGTAAATCTTATTTTTTATCTGTAACTATCAGCGGTCTAATTTAAATCTTCATAATTTCATGAGTTATGTTAATTTTCATACCTTCCTTAATCCAGCTCATTTAATTTAATTAGATAATTTAACACTTACTATTTATTTCAAATATACGATAGGGGAAATGTTCCCTACTATTTAAATCCTCTTTAGATCCTGCCTTTTAATTGTATTACTGTGACATAAAGTATACAGAAAAACACATTGAGACTACTTTATAAATATATTTTTTAATACGAAAGTAAATTTTAAGAAGAGAACAATTTGCACTGACGAGATTTCCTCCCCGAAAATAAAGAGAAACTTCTATCTAACTATTTAAAGGTCCTTCAGCTAGTATTGTGGTGAAGGAGAACACTGGTGAGGACAACCGACTATATTTCCAGCACAACTTACAACGTTCCTTGATAAAATATGAAAACCATACTCTGATACTCTATTTGCAAAATGTTCTTTATCTGTCTCAGGCTCCACTGTTCCTGGGTTTTCACACCAATTGCTTTTTATTTCTGTTCTTCTCTTCTTGATCTTCTCAATCTTCTGCTGTCAAAAGTTCTATCCCTTACTCACGATATATACTACTTATGTTGATATAAGTAGCCCACACCACAGTATCAATACGTGACAAAAGCTAATTCATTCTTTAACTAGGTAAATGTGAATTTTATCACAATAATCAAACAATAAATAGTTTTCAAAATATCCTAGAAATAATAATAACAAACTATTGTTTTGATAAAGCAGAATGATTAAGTTTATTGAAAAAAGATTAAAAAAATTATTATTAGGCTAATAGTGTTTCTCAAAATTCTTGTTGTAATCAACATTAACGAATATTTGTTGATATCACCAGGATTGTGACAAACTGAAAACAGTGTAAATACATTGAAAAGAAAAACAAAACATCACAGAACATTTTAACACAGTGTTTAAGTTTACATATAGACAATGGTATATACGTAAGTGGTTATATTAAATAAAAGCAAAATTGTTGTAAATTAATCTTATTGTAAAATTGAAATACAAAACATGAAATATATATAATATATTTGTGTATTATCAATCAGAAAAAAACAATAATAATATCATTATTGTTTTCCATTTAAACCCATTTCATTGATCAATGTAACTTTTTGAACTTTTTTATCAAAACTATCCAGATTATAAACACGTAACATTTCTTCACGTAAACATTCAGCTGCCAACGCCAAATTTCTTGACTACGGAATATAAATAAATAAACAATGAACAACTATTATTCACTGTAACAATTTAAATGGATACCTGTAATTTAATGAAATTATTACCGTTGATTATTATGTGCTTTTGTGTTAAAAAAAATAAAATAAAGAAAACTCTTAACAATTATTACTGTGGTAAGTGATCCAAGTTTCATGATTGTCATTTGTGCTTTTAACACTCGGTTATGATTTAAAACTAGATCATTAAATAATGTATTCAATGGTATTGATAGTGAGCTGTTTAAATTAAATGTTATTTTGGACAAAAAAAATAATTCTAATTTACGCTGATATAGAAGGAATACCAAATAGAGTTTATGTTAAATCGACGTTTCTGAGGTTCAGTAACTTAAAAATTAGGTAACAGGTTTGTAATCTTCTCATCATACTACGGACTGTGGAGTACAGTAGCGTTTCTAACCCAGATATACATTTTGAGAAAAGTCAATCATTAGTGCACAGGCATCATGGGTTTATTTTCTAATACAAGTATGTTATATCAGACCGTTGTTCCTTGTATAACATTTGAGTTAAATTACATACGAATATTAGCTCTCTAGTTTATAGCTTATTAAAAGCATACAATCAGAGTACATTGCTCTGCACTAATTTAAGAGTCAGTCTACCAAAATTAGTTCTGTTTAACTTTCCTAAAATATTTCCGAATGGGTATAAATATGGTTGACGTGAAACACCTATCCAGAACTAACGAGTTTTATAACAAATCCTTTAAAGCACCCTACATTTCAGTATATTTTTGGTGTTTATTATTTCTGGGGATTACGATTGGAAAATTTATTCCTGAAAATTCAAAGGTTGTAAAAGAGTAACACAGCCGGTTTGTCTAGCCAAACGGTAAAAATATAGTGAGGTTGACATGTGAAAATTTTAAACGTGAATTAAACTAGCTAATCCCCGTACCGTCCAGGAACTCGCAAATCTCCTAACCAGGTAGAGTTTAATGTTATCCTAATGTAAAGTAATGAATCAATTGCGAAGTACTAATATACCTTCCAGGGGTTAGCTAAAAGTGTAGAATTAAAGGGTACATTTAATATAATGAAAGCAATACTCACTTGCTGAATCCTAGCTTCTTTTTCTTCAATTAGTCGACGTATGTGTTCATCTTTCTGTCGTAAAGCTAATTCTGCTGCCTTTCGCACTTCGTGTTCTCTGCGTTGTATTCTTTTAATAATCAAAGTTTACAGTTAAACATAATTTATAAAGTAGAAAACATCTTAATTTTTAAACAAGAATGCTATTTATTATTGTCTTATCTCTGCGGTGAAATTCTTAAAATTCTACATTGTAAGTAACGATGGCTGACAAACTCACTTGATAATATGAGTTTCTTACTTGCATGTTCTGTATAAATTATGATCATTATTGGGAAGGTGTATGTTCGTTATGTATTCTGATGGTGGTAAAACACTAAAAATATGTTCCATATCTACGATCCTGAAAGTAAATGTTCGATGAACAACTGTCGATTGGAGAATATTAATATATTACTGAGAACAACATCTAGATGGGATAAAAATATGAATTCTTCGATGATTTTCTTTCTAACTTCCATCAACATTGAAAATATGCTTTCTAGAAAGCTGGTGTACTGATGATTTGTCTTTGTTTGATCGCGCTGAAATCCCGTTAATTGGCGCTTATACAACCACTGTGACTTAATGAGAAAAATGTTGAAGCAATAGTAGGAGGTAGCATCAAAATTCGAAAAAATAAGTACTTCATTCAAATCAGTAGCTTGCCTAGATTACTTACTCAATTTACAATTTCATAGTTCTTTGTAAAAGGAAAACATAAACATACATTGCACCATGCTTGTTCAGAGCCTTAATCTTGACATGAAAATTAACTGCAATAGTATATGGTTGATAGTGTTGAATTCTATTAAACTATCTTACAAATCTAATTTTCACTAACATTTATTTTAATTACGCCCGTTATCCTTCATGGAGGAGCATAGGCTGCCCATTTCACTAAAACTACACAGAATAATTTGCAAATATTTGTAGATATACCTAATGATTTTTCAGTTGATGTTAATCAGTTATAAACCCCAACTTTCAATAAAAGACAATATATTCCAACTAACTCTTTTGTATTTTCTTCGACTTGCATTTGTTTTTGTCTTCGTTCTGAAGCTAATCTTTTCTGCTCTTCTGATAATCTACAGGATACACGTTCCATAGCTCGTTGTATAGACTGCAGAATTAAAAATAAGGCAGAAAATGAAAATAAGTTAGATGGGTTGAATAAACTTGAAAATACTAGTTATATTTTTAAAAATACATTCAATGTGAAACAGACGTCTCACTTTTCCTTAAATGTTTACATCTTTCTTAGAGAATAAACACTCCTGAAGTATACTATTGTGTTGAAACAAATAAATTTTATGTAGCTATATATATAAACAGATTCCTTAATTTACATGTTTCATGACTACATAAGACTCAATCGTTTGGTACCTTCATAATTTCTCCTGAAATATTCAACAAGTCGAAATGATTTGCATCGAACTAGGATACCTCATAGGCTACTCGTTTTGATTTTATTAATAAAAGGTTGTTATTAAAAATGTGATTGCATTCTATTCAATGATAAAACGTTAGTGAAATTTCCTATTTATATTCCCCATATGAATAATATTGTTAATTATTTCGATAATGTTGGCTTACTTGTTCTCGAGCTTCGTACAGTTCTTTTCTATATTCTTCAATCATTTTCCTTAATTGTTTTTTTCTTTCTAGAACTTCACGAACTTTTCTTGCACGTTCATAACTGAAAAGTTTTGTAAATATAGTTATAAAGTACCAAGTTCTCTGTCAGTATGTCTCTCGCCTTTAATTAAAAAAATATTTCTAATACTGCCTTGAGATTAATTGGGGAGGTTGATGAACCTTTAATAAGCATTGTAAAATGTTTTATTTACGTTTATGGCTCCTTATCAATGTGTAATATCAATCTAAATGAGGTCAAACTTAAGAGGTTCAACGGTTTATAACTGATATAGGCCCGTTTCAAAGACGACCTAATCACAAATTTAGAAACAACTTAGTTTATACTTTGATCATCTAATGGAATAAGGATTACTAATTGCAATTTTAAACTAGTCAGAGCACAAATACATTACAGAAAAGTATTTGAAAGCGTAATCATGCAACTACAGTTCTAACTATACTTTAGTGAATATATGAATCATGTTCACGTAGTCAAGTAAATTTTGCCAGTAATTATGGACTGTTTATCTTTATCATATGATTCTACAGTGATTATTTAACTTGTTAGGAGACCTTATTCATGTGCAAGATTTGTCATTATAGGGTTATGGAGAATGTGGAATTTTATTGAGATCATGAATCGATCCAAATTAGAAAACCACTGAAAATCTGGAGGCACTAGGAGGTCACTTCGTCTTGATATGGGATTCGTCAGCAATGCTCACGTACGACTCCGGCACCGGAAATCGAAACCCAAGACCTTGAGTCCCAAGATCGAGCGCCCAACGTCCAGACCACTGAGACGGGATTTGTTGGAGTACAAGTTTGACTTCAGTTAATCCATGACATTAGTCGTGCGATATTATAAAAACGTTGGGCGACCGATTCGATAATATGCTAGAATGACTGAAGTGAAGAGTCTGATTACTTCATTATGGGCGGGAACCACGAGTCCAGATCCAAACAATTTTCAGAAGACATAACTATTCTTGAAAGAAATGTATATATAATTTGAAAATTAAAAATAGTAAATATTAACAAGTATGAAGTAATGAATCTAAGGTTACTGTCTAATACCTTCAACCACTTAACATGAATAGTAATAATGAGTTTTGTATCTTTTAAAAATTCTAATGAACATTTATCGTAACACTATCATTTATATTCGTATAATTACGTTTACTCATCCATGAAACTTACTGAGCTGCAATCATATTTCTTTCTTTTTCTTTCAAAATTTGATTTCTCTGTTTTTCAACTTTGTTTAGCTTCTCTTCATAACATTTTTGCGCACGTTCTCTTTCATCACTATATCAGTTACAATAACGAAAATAATCATTATTGTTCTATTATCATATAGTTCATACATGCGATATCTAACTATTAGGTTGACGTTTTTTGAATTTATGGCACCTACTTCGGTTCTGATTATAAGGAATGAATCTCTATCGAAACCCTGAGCAAGATTCAAGAAAAGAAGAATGAGAAGACAGCAATTAACAGCAGCCGAGCAAGAACAGGTTCTAAGGCCTACAAGATCTACGCACAGAAGAAACTGCTATAGAGGACAGCTGGAAAGCACTAACTTCAACATCACAGTGAAGCAAACAAGCGAGTGAAGAGAAGCATTAGATGTGACAAACAGAAATACGTGGAAGATCTAGCAACGACGGCGGAAAAAACTTCGAGAGGAGGAAATATGAAACAACTGTATGACACAACGAAGAAACTGGAAGGGAAATATGGTAAACCAGAGAGACCTGTCAAGGACAACGAAGATAAAAACAATCACTGAAATTCAGGAACAGATGGGTGGAACACTTCGAGAAACTCCGCCTGATGTCGAAGAAGCACACAATGACCTTCCTATGTACTAGTACTTAAATCCATATCATTCATAAAATGTGATGATTGTGATAGAATGAAGATAAACCAAACAGAGATGTGATCATTTCACTGAGCACAAATCGGTGTTCACATCAAAAACAGAAAAGTATTTAGAAAAAGTTTTAAACTCCTGTGTTTATAGTATAAACATTCCACTGGTAAGCGTGGTGATATGTACACAAAAAGACATTTACTTTTTGCTAATGGAAACGGAAAAACCAATTTTAATTACTTTCATAAGATAGTATTCCAAATGAGGTAATACGGCAAGACCAACACGCTTTTTTTCAAATTATTTTCTAATCTCCAATATCTACTCAATACCAAACATCATTACTAAAAAGATAGATTTCTCACAAGTTAGTAGTAGCTGGTGAACAGAGGAATGGTGAACTAGTGTTTCACCGTGCTTCTAGATTCCCATCTTAGCCAAGGATCCAACAGAGATAAAACCCAAGAAAGTAAAAACATAAAGTTGGATTCCAGTGGTTGACATTTTAAACTTTTGCTAATTAGTGATAAAAAGCAGTCTAAATCCATATTCATAATTAATTTCTTGTCTTGACTGCATATTACTAACAAGTTTCTGAATAGGGTGAAACATCTAACCAGTATTCCTTGGTTTCTAATGCTGATTAACATTACCGTTTAATTATTTGAAATCGCCATAGTAAAAAACCACCTAAATTTAGATGGTACAGTAAATATCAAAAGACTAAAAAGATTTGCAAATTCAAAATTAATTTTCAAAAAATTACACCATACTTTTGTATTTGTTCTTGAGTTTGCTTCCGTTTCCAGAACTGTCTTTCTTTATCAAGTGATGAATGTGATGCCCTACGCTAAGATTAAACATTACCAATAAATATATACTTCGACACAGGGAAGATTTAATATTTAACGCTTATACAATAAATAGTTTAAATATATATTCACTAATTATTAAGGCGATTTTACTTAGACAATGAATTTGTATTTCCAAATAATTTAACAGAGGATATTTTCACTAAAAAACTGATCAACGACTGTATCGAGTATTGATCGAGTACTATATTCAATACTATACTTTTTGTTTTTTACAAAAATATTTTTCTTGCAGTGTATTGTTAAATAGGACAAAACGGCCATTCAGTGCTTCCAGGTTTTCAATGGTGGTCTAACAACAATCGGTTTATGATCTCAATGAGAAATGTTTACAGATTTGATCACAATAAATTCCTATTTTTGTGTATAAGGCTCAGATTTACTCAATCGAAATACTTTTGGTATCAGAAGCATTTACTTTGTGAGCCAATCAATTATTAAAATAAATTTTTAGATATGTTCAGTTGTGTTTTTCCCTTATATCTACTCCAAATTATTCAGTGTTAAGATAAGTAGAGGTTTAGAAATATTTACTGATCTCCTAGACACAGTGTTTTTACATAGAACTTATGGATTAAGGCTACTAGCGGAATACAGGATGTGCGTTTCATCCAGTACCTTTTACTTCAAATGAGACTTAAACTGATAGCCACAATCCATTTACTCTATGATAGAGTTGTTACATCGAGGCAAAGCACACAGGATGTACATACGCCATCAAAGACTAGTCAAAATCCACTCGACAATATGAACAGCGAATAATCCATACCTTTTTTTATTAATGACACTGAAGATTTTATTTTTACGTAGGATTTTAATTACGATATAAAATCCATATTAAGCCTAAACTGATTAATTATTTGGTATTATTCATTGCCATTTCTAGTCCATAGTACTGATTAAATCCTGTTAATGAAATTACTTGACTGTTGTTCTAAGCGATTAAAAATTTCATAGATACATGTTTTGATTTCAGATAGGTCGAAGCAATCATCAAGTAGCCCTGAGCCTAGGATTTGTGTTAATCTGAATCTGTTAACAAGGCGTTTCTACACTCTTATAGGAAATCGTCCTCTCATGACAATCCTAAGAAACCCTTTTCAAATATCTTGCTTTTTGAGACTGCAATTTATTTTTAACTGGTGTACAACATGATATATTTTGTGTGTAGAATCATGATTAGTTATTTACAAAACAACTCAGCTCATAGTGGTTTATGAAAGATTTCGCCTAATCGAAAAAATGACATTGAATAGATTTACTGTACTATTCCAATCAATCATAGCTTTGGAAATTGTCGTTTGAAACTTTTATTCCTTCTACATTTATACTAGACATCAGTAAATAAGAAAGAAAAACTCAAAGTTGTAACTACATTTTTTTGCATTTCATCAATTCAGAAATATCTTAGGTGGAAAATAAACAATTCATGTGACAAGTCCTATATGAAACAAAATGTTTACATTATATTTCAAGAATAACTACGAACAGATACAATTACTTTGTACCAATAAATCCAGAAATAAGTAAGAACAGTACACTGTGTTTGGAGGAAAGTGTCCAACGTCTCTACTGTCTCATGAAGGTGTGCCACAAGGAGCTGTTCTTTCACCTCTTCTTTTCTGCATGATCTTCCACAGAAAATGGTTGTGAAATATGCGGACGATCTCACTGTATATAGGCCGATTTTTACCTCTTTACATCCCATAGAAATGAATGAGTTTTTGTCTCGTATTGAATGGTGGTCTGTTATTAATGATCTCATAGTTAATCCGTCTAAATGTCAAGCTGTTAACTTTAGTCTGAGACATGAATAGCACCTAAACATCATTTTGGGATCTCATAATGCTTGTTCCATTAGGGACTCTTTGATAAACAGTGTTGAAGGTCAATTGCCTTGATGTTACCTTTTCCTCTGATCTCTCTTGGTTTTCTCATATTTTACTGTTATGGAAAAAAGTTTTCCGTCTGACTTACTACATAAAGTGGCTGCATGCTTTTGGGATTACTCGACATTTACTCTTACAATTTGTCAATTCCTGCTTATTACCTATTATTCTTTACTGTTCTCCATTATTCTTTCCCAGGCTTTTGAAAAAAGACTGTTGTATTGCGAAGAGTGCTGAAGGCAGTTAGCAAGGTGTGTCTAGAATCTTTTGAGATCACAATTAATATGGTTGTGAATAGACATCTAAAGTTTTGTAAACTCCTGGCAGGTGTTATCAGATACTAGCCATCCCCTTCATTCATATCCTTTTCCCTTTGTATCTTCTGGTAGAACGAGACGTAAATATATTAAGATCCATGCACGCAAGCGAAGGTATAAAAGTTCTATGATACTTTACCACGAAAATATACTCTGTGACAAACAGGTTGTTAGAGTTAGCCTACTCAATAACCTGTATTCTTAAACATGTCTCTATTTTAAAAGTTGTACAGTTCCGGATATTCTTTCACCTTTTTTTGTTGTTATTTTTTGGAAAAGAAACTTGTTGAAATACCTCGTGCTGAGAATTCTATGGTGTACCGAAAGCCATTAATAATAAACAAAAAATAATCCTTCTAATGACTTCATTTATGAATATTATTTCACAATACAATCAAAGAACATAGTAGGTTTAAATGTAATACATCTTAAAAAGTAATTTGTTGAATAAATATTTATAATTTTAAAAGGATATATAAGACTTACCATTAAACGCTGTTCCGTATTTTTCGAATAGTCGGAGCTCCTTTTGTCATGTTGAGATTTTCGGCAAAGAGCCGATTGTGGTCTAGATGCCTAAAACATTCAACAACGTGACGACTGTTCAGTTTTTCTTAGGTCAGTTTATATGGTTACAAATATAACTATTGACTGGATATTAATCAATCATTTATATATTGTTCGCGGTGTGAATTTTAAAAATGAAAGATTTCATTAAAAATTTAAATCAATAGTAGGTTATGGAAATATTAGACAGTTATTGCATTTTATTCAGAAACGCTTCAGTTGTTTATGGTATATATGACTTAGAGGATTCGCTGGAAACTCATTGGTCCTTGAATTATTAGAATCAGTTCTTTTGATTAAATTTTTTTCGTGGCTGATCAATTTGTCGTACACGTTACTATTGATGTAAAGTATTCAGTTAAGCTTTTAAGGTACTCTAGGTAGAAGGCTTTACATTAATTAAAAATATGTACTAAGGTTATAAAATTCAGTTTTAAAAAATTAGTCAAGTGGTAACAATTGGTCAAGATTCTCTGAGAAGAAAAGAAATAAGACGTTAAAAACTACCTACAAACACTATATTTTCTTATCATTTGAATTTCTGAAAAAGAAATCCGTCAAACTACCAGAAGTTCAAACAAAACTCTGAGTTCATATGAATATATCAATAAGGAGTATGTTAAATGGACGTTTATTGGTGATATAATTATGTCAATAACGAATAACTTGATATCACAGCCAAGAATTGGTTACTTTTAGAAGCATTAAAAATTGGATTTATGCAGTGTCTCTGGTCAGAAACTGAGCTACTAAGACTGATAGTTATTGTATAAGCCTAAACAAGTTATCAGGTGCTGTGAACTCAGATCTTTACCCTTTTAAGTCACTTTAAACTTGTTGACCTATTTTCATTTAAGTACTAATCAATGATATTTGTACTTTCATGTTTTTTTTAGTAGATATAGGAACTGAGCCACTAAGGTTAATAGCTATTACCGTCCACGAGTTTGTAGCTCGTAATTTTATCCCCACACCTAATTACCTAACTTAATCACTAACTCGTTTGTTTTGCTTTCAAAATGCAAACCAATCATGAAGGGAAACACTGGTACAGTGCTGAAACAGACAAACATGAAACGAAGAGAAACCTGAAAAGCCTGACATCTTAAAGAGTTACGTGAATGTTTTTAACAGTCAAAGTGGAGATAGAACAATTGTATTTCTACAGAGATGTAACACTTTGGATGAAATAAGTTCAGTATCCCTTAAATCTTTTTAAAATAAAGTCTTTATGATCTTAGTTCATTTATTTATTAAAAAGAGAACCTTTTTAAAATACAAAAATAATTTCATACACATAGTTCCATTTATCATCTTAAAGAAAGCAAATACAAAGATTCTAGCAGAACAGTATGAGTTCATAATTATCTGAGTACAAGTTGTCAAATTTTAAAAACTACAAAATAATTACAAAATGTCTCCAAAAAAAAACAGGATAAATGTAACAGATGAATTCAATTAGGCAGAACTATTTAACAAATGAAACATTTGAATTAATAATGTTAAAACTAATTAAAATAACAATTAATACTTGCCTGACCAACAAGTACCAAGTTTTGTAGACTTCTTGATAAAGAACCAGTTGATGACAAACAATCGATTTTATTCTGCTGATATTTTCTTTGCATTAATTCAATCTGTTTAAGTTCCTGAGGAAAACAATTAATAATTCAAAACTGAATAGACAGATAAGAATGAATATATAAGTTACTAAAGTAAGGAATTGTAATTTAATATCAAGTTGAGTCAATATAGATTATTATACTTGGTGAACAAGGAACCTTAAATGTTTCTTGAAAATTAAGATTATGTAATAATGAGATTCACCAAGTTTTGTTAAATTTCTTGGATTTTAGGAAACAATTATTCGATCTTTATATGTTCTTTTGAAGAACGATCAATCTAAAATTTATGATGTGGGGAACTTTTAGTGTAAAATTATATATGTATATATATATATATATATATATATATATATATATATATAATGAACTTTGGTTTTCAACAATTTTATAGTTCAGTATGTGAATTGTTTATAGCTCCAAGTAATTATTCAAATTAGGATTAAATTTTAACTATGTGCATAGAGAAACTCGATACCTGGATGGTGGCTCAATTTCATGAATTGGTTGAAATCAGACATTAACAACATCCGATGCCAGCTCAGCACGCGAGAATGGAGGTCCTGGGTCCGAATCCCGCTGGCGGATGGTGGATGGTGAATGCGCACTGCTGAGTTCTATACAAGGACGAAGCGGCTGTCCGGTGCTTTCAGCTTTTCCATGGCGATCTAGATTTAATCTAATCATGAATTCAACTATTAAGTTACCTCGACAAACACTGAGCAATCAAAGATATACTAACTGTTACAATATTCCGGTCAAGAGTAGATGTTATTCTGGCTGAATACATTGCTCAAAATACATGACTTTGTAGTTTAATGTCTTTTTTATTAGGGGAAATAAAAAAGGTCTTTTCTATTTAAATGAATATATTTTGTATGTCTTTTATAATTTTAAAGTAACACATTTTAACGTGACTTGCAAAAACATAGTATGTGCTTATTAAAATAAAAGTTCAACTCTATTATCTTTTTCTTATTAAAAACGATTATAGAGTATTGATTAGTCTGACATTACTTACCGTAGGTTGTAGTTTCTCGATTAGATGTGAATACTTTTTCGTCAAACATGGTTCAAAATTAGCAAAATTCTGAAGTGTTCCAGGAGATGAGTGGAAGGTTGAATTTCTGAAAACGACAAATCACCGTTCAACGTTCTGTCTGAATATAGTTTGATAATCAGATATATATTATAAATAATTCAAAGTAACTTAAATAACAATAATTGACCAAGATGTACGCTGAATATTTATCCATATTATATTTGTGCCTTTTAAATTTATTCACAGACAACCGAACACATTTTTATCGGGTAGAGTTGTAACATCGTAACAGCACAGGTGAAAGAAATTATAGCAACTCTCTTGCAATCAACTTCGATCATGGTTAAAGTTTGTTAGGCCAGTGAAATGTCACTGATCTGTAGCCAAATCATCCGGCAGTTGGATCACCGAATGTCGAACAGATCATCGATCCCTGTCAAGGTCAATGACAACCAACGCGCATCAGTTAATTTTACGCCATGGATTGGCCCATGAAGTGATGGTCGCACTTTCGCTTGTACCTACTTTAACTAATATATTTCTGTAATAACGTCTTTTGTCTTGTACTGTATTAAAAGCATCTATAGTACCTTGATACGACGAAGGGGTAATCCACGTTAGGTGCTGACCGTGAGGTGTGACTTCGACGTTAGCTGGTGGTCACACCATTCCCGTCTAACTTGAGTAGGCCCCAATCATTCATCAGAGATTACCAACGTTGTTGATCTACACTCTTTTAATAACTTACTTAACAGACAATGTTATTTGAATAGTAAAAATTCGTATATTTCTTTGTACTATTATGATCACTACCATATCGGTATAAACGTGTACGCTTGATCACATGACAGACTCTAGCTAAAATGTTGGTAACTTAAATATAGCTCGGTGAATCATTCTCTTTCTCATGTATATATGTACTCGAATCCTATGATTAGCCTTTGCCTTGTATAGCTGCACCTTATTCGATTTGACTAAAAATCTGCCTCTGTATTTTCTCGCACACACATATTCTCCTCTTTCCTTCAAATGCGCTCAATGTTCTTATACCTGTGTTATCCGCTAATAAACTGTAGTTGCCGCTTCTTATTGCCTTCTGATTTCAAACATAGTTGATATTTATATATTAACGGTTATCAAGGTGATTGATTAACGAAGCAAAGCCACTAAAAAATAATTGGGATGAATATCAAAGGATTTAAAACAATGGTGGTGTTATCGATGGAATAAAGTAAATTTGAACTTCAATAGTTCGAACCGAACTAACGAAACCCTGAAATGGGAATTATGAAATAATCATAGTGTGACTCAAAATTCATGGTAGCATAAGTAATAAATACATCTGTTTTCTTGTGGCTTCTAAAGTGAAAAAACGTTCTATAGAAATAAACACATGAATATGATAAGTTTCCAACTTTGCTTTACCTAACACTATTAAAATTTACAAAATTGCAAACAAGACAGTATATTGAGACTCTTCCAGTCTATAAGGAGAATGTGTCTACAGCCCTCTGTTTATTTTTACAGGAAAATTCCATACTCGTTTGTTGATTTCTTAATTGTTCAAGATGAGCAGTATTCATTTACCATCATATATTAGTAACAGATATTTCTCCTTTCATAAACTAAGATCAAATTACCACTGAAATCGTTCGAATTTAGATAGTGAAGTCCTGATGTAGCAACTAATCTAAAGTAATTAGGCCTCATGATGCACTTGTATTTCATGTTATGTTGTGAATAACTAACAAAGAATCATTCAATTACATTTTGTACTACTTCGTACCGATTAATGTTACTTATCTATAATCTTGAAATTAATAACAAGGTATTTGTGTTTGTAAACATTCTCGAATGAAGACAGAGCTTCCTAATTTTCTTTACTACAGAAGTTAAAATACATTAGCTTCCAATCTAGCCTCTGAATGTTTCCCTTCAGTAACTTTGGTTTCATATCGGTACAGTTTCATTCTGGTTAATCTTTCATTGACAATAAAATCACTAATTTAAGACGAATTTTCGGAATGTGTTATCAAATCATTTCAACAGATCAATCCATTAGAGGGGTGTGGTGTTGTCTACTTATATCTATATAAGTAGTATATGGTGTGGGTCAAACATAGAATGTATTTTCGCAGAAGACCGATAACGAAAGAACTGAAACGAAGCGCAATCGGTAGGAAAATGCACGGACAATGGAATTAGAGAAGAAACAGTGAAGATCGAGACTATTGGTTGTTAATTTGCAAATTGACTGTACATTGTATGGTTTTCAGAATTTACTGAGATAGTCTGTAATCTTTGCTTAAATACATTCGATTGTCCCCAACCAGTGTTTTGTTCATTACAGGGGAATCAGTTGAAGTGGAAATATCTGCATCAACAACACACTCACATCACCTGGAGTCAGATGAAGGCTAAATACCAAATACGAAGTTCTACATATCAAACCTGAAATAATGAAGAACATTATAGCTAATCACCAAGGAAGGCCTATATCTCAGATAATTATTCTTTATGTAGTAATGCTTGGGAATAAAATTTTCAAGAAACTACCTCTTGCTGTAGCTATATTTAGATGCTTTTGCCACAGATTAGATGAGGTATTAGTCAAGAAAGTATTAATTTCCTACAATCAAAGCTAACTGGTTATGAATTTAAGGGCTCTTTTTAATAAGCATGAAGTGCAGTTAAATTCCGTTATTTTATTTAAAGATTGAATTCGACAAGACAGAAAGTCATAGACAAAAAGATATGAATCATGTTATCTTAGCCATTAAAAAGATCTGCTTGAACGATACGACATAAAACAAATTTGCAAATTTAGCATTATTGTATGAATCAGTTATAAACATCTAGATATGTGAACTCTTTCAAATATCTAGTAGAATAGAACCTTATTTGAGAGCTATAATCCAATCCGCTCTAATTAACAGTGCAATCTTCATTCAGAATAATTCACGCTTCTATAATGACAGTTATGAACTGTTTGTACCTTTTGACTGTAGGTCAATAAAGTAGCCGCAATGTACGATGAATAATGAATACATCTACAGTACAAGTTAATGTTTTATGTTGTGTTTTAATCTGTTATAACCATATAATACAACTTCACTCTGCTTACGTCCAATTTTTGTTTGTCTCGTCGAAGTTCTAGCTTATTTGGAATGAGTGGTTTTTCGTTAGACGATTTGAAATTCACAAAATCCTTTTAATATGGAGGCTTTGATCAACTGGTGAACCATAAAGCAGTAATTTTTGTGAAACATTTGGAGCCGGAGTTAATACAAGTCTATTAAGTTATGTGATTTTTTGCGTGCGCGAAACAAGAGGAGTAATGGCATTGTTCTTCCTTGGGTAAACCTTTTAGTATTGATTGTATCCCAAGGCGAAAAGGCTTTTTTGTATTTATTCGAGTCAGATTTTTCAGTTACAGTAAAATATAAATCTTAGCTTTTTGCTTTCGGTGTCTATCACCTTTTAAACTTTAAAAAGCACTTATTCTAGAGATCAGTTTTCCTGTTTGTTTATTCTCCTTGCGCTTTAAGAGATTTCTTTATGTTGTTCTCTCTCTGAGATCACTAATCAGTTTTAATGACGCAAGTAAAACATCGTTGTGGTAGACCCGCATGCTTTTTCCCGGTCGAGGATGGAATGCAATGTGACAACTGCAACAAGTGGTACCACAACGTGTGCACTGGACTAACACCAGCTGCATATAAAGGGTGCTGTTAGTCACTATAATATTGGTTGTGCAAAGCATGGTGCTCCACAAAATCTTTGCTAATTCTTGACACAATCGAGCTAAACATAGCTAGAAAAATGCCCTTAGATAAACAGCCAGCAGCAGATGAAGAGTTTTTAGTTTTCAAGTAAGCAATGGGCGTTATGATGAGTCCAGCCATGGATTTGAATGAAACTATTAAGGTAGACCTTAATAACATAACGGATAACAAACACACAGATGTAGAAATGGTTACAAGAAAAAAGAAAAATAACGCTGAGAAGAAACAAATTATGGAAATCTCTAAGATATATGAGTCGACTGTTTCAGCCTCAGATCCACAAAACAAACTATGGAGGAGCAAAGGCTGAGTGGTGTAGATTGTATCGATCAGTCAATCAGCTATAACGTAGGACCATGTACATATATGCGTCGGTCCAAGTTGCCACATCTCATTAGCACAACAAGATGAACACCAAGTTCATAGAAGTAGTCACTTCAATGGCAGTAATGTATAAAAGAAGGAATATGTATAAGGATATAGTAGAGGAAGAAAGAATCAGTTGGTAGAAAGAGAGATATTAAGCAATTTTGGTCTCACACTTTAAGGAAAGATGAAGAGTGTATACACCTGCACCATTGTGATCGATTCTGCGCTATATCATCCAGTCTCCAATCATTGGTTACGATAGTCACGTGAACCTCAACCAAGTAGTCTGCATCTACCAACATGGCTCAGACTAGAAGTTGGTGACTTCAAGGACTGATGCTACGTTTTGGTTTGGCCGCCTATAATTTTCTTCCAACCGTCTCCAACAGTTGTCAGCATTGCGCGTCGAGGTAAACGGTGTTCAGACATGCGTAACACATGGCCCAACGATCTCAGTCGATGAAGATTGGCTTATATTTACAGCCAGGTAAGGAAACGGAAGGAAACAAAGTGATACCTTCGCGTCTGACGTCAGATCGGATTTCAGGCATCGGAACATTTTAAGAAACAAAACTCCACAGCTTGTTAAGACGGACCTCACTAACAGATAAGTCATTTTCATAAGTTCAGGATCTTCCGAAAATAAACCAAGGGCTAGATTTGAACACTACTTAAGGCACATTAAGTCCTTAATAAGCGAACTACTTCCATAAACAGTAGTAGGAGTTAGCATCCATGAGCTTTAGAGAAAAGGAAGAAAGTGGATTCTACAAGTACCCAGAAAAGCCTCTTCTTAAAAATTATCTTTACTTTTAATGAAGAATGAAACTTAATACTGGAAAATTTATTCAAACTGACTGGATCCGGAATACATGTCCGTGAGCGTGATTGATCATATTAAGAGATGGTTGGCAGAGATAGAAATAAGTGAGCGCCACCGGAACGGTGAAAAAACCTTATGCTTAGGGGTTTTCAGATTGTAAAATTTCGGAGCAAAACAATTCCCAAACCACTATGGGTGGTAACGGAAAGTTCTTCACAGAATTAACAGCGTGCTGTATAAGTACTCGCAGCCTATGTAATAAGATGGTGGAGCTCAAAACAGTGATTGACACAGAACACTGTGATGTCATTGCCATCACAGAAACATGATTAACTTCAAAAGTGTATGATAGTGAGATCCAATTGATTGGTTCATTACTTAGTGGAGTTGATAGACTAAACTGTAGGGGTTGTGGGGTTATCCTATACACGAAAAGTACATTAACCATACAAGCTACCGACACAGTGGCATAGGACTCAGGTACATGTAAACTGATGCGCTGTAGGCTGGAGTGTAGATGGCAAGATATTGAAATAGTTGTGGTATATGGCAGTCCAGAATGTGCAGTGGATGACTTTCTCCTAAGCAAACTTAAATTCTGGTGTAACAGAGGCAAAAGTCTTATAGTAGGCAACCTTAATGCCCCATCTATAAATTGGGAGAACTTAGGAGTAGGGCCATAAACAATATCATTTGATTGCAAAGTGTTAGAAGCCACAATCGCCCTATCTATATTTCAGAACATTAGAGATGCCACAATATATGACTTACAAAACTCCTCCTCTCTTCTGAAACTTCATCTTCACACACCTTGATGATGTCAGTCAAATGACTTTCCTCCCACCTTTAGGGAGAAGTGACCGTGAGGTCGTCTTACTCAAGTTCGTGGCTAAGATGGCCTGTCAAGCTGTTTCACTGGCCTGTCCTAACATACAGAAGGTAGACATGAAAGCGATCAACTCTGCAGCCTCGGCTGAAAACGAGTAGTTGATCAGGGGCATCAGTAGAACAAACACGGACTCATTTTCGAAAGTGACACAGTCAAGTTACCCAACCATTTATATGCTGGATAGACCCGAAGAAGAATAAGCATGGCTATCCCTGGATAGACTGGGATATTCGACGTTTACCAAGACAAAAGAAGAAATGTTGGAACATCGCCACCAGTCTTGGCACAGCAAGCACGATAAAACGTTACAGGTCGATACAAAATAAGTGTATAGTTACAATCCGGAAAGCCCAGCAAAATTATGAAAAGCAGTTGTCCCAATCTGTAACCAAGTAGCCTATGAGACTATTCTCGTACATAAAATACTACGGCATAAGGACGCAGCATTACATTCCCAACCTAATAACGGAAGGACGTGAACCTTAAAAAATAGAGTGTGATGAAGAAAAAACAGGCTACAGCAAACTATTTTGGAACACTTTTCACTCAGGAGCCTCTTCTGGACGAAAAAATAGACTCAGATGCGAAGTGAAAAAAATTGTCTGCTTATTGTGGACTTCAATCGAGACGATGTGCTTAAGGCTCTTATCACTTCAAGCACGGAAAAATCAACAGGACCGGATGAACTATACCCTAAAAGCTTGAGACAAATTGCACAATATATTGCTGCTTAATTTACTAAGATATTGAATATGTCATTAGGTTAATGTGAGTTACCTACGAATTGGAAGGATGCAATTATCACTCCAATACATAAAACAGGATCGAGACAACTATTTAAAGGACTTATCAAATGTGTTATGAACACCAATACTTATTCTGAAGAGCGAGAAATCTATACCCTCAGTAAAATTACTGCAGGATATTTTTTATGACATTAGAAATTATGTAAGCTACCATAAAGTGAGGAGATTTCCATAACTTTGACTAATAAAATCCTAATGCATTTTATGGCACAAACTACATCCTAATTGATAAAATATCCCGAAACCATGAAATATTCTCTAATAGAAGTTGCAGAGAATAAAACGAATATTTTAGCACCCAGGATCCTTGAGATGCTTCTTAAAATTACTCAGTCATAGACAATGTATTCCCTAGCGTGGATGGGAATGAATTCTAACTTAAGTATAAAGAACAATACACAACTACGTATACCCTCAATCGTCTCACCTTCCTCTGTGTGAAATTCCATTTTCACCTAAACTTCCACAGTTATTTGAATAAGTACTTAAGACTCACCATCCATAATATGAGTTTCGTCAAACGGAGGGTTGTTATGCGCATCTGTACAGTCAGGCTGTACTAACTTCCATCTTTCTATTCTAGCTTTTGCAAGCTTATCTAAACAAAATAAAACGTACAATTGAGATACCTCTTCTCTTTTCTTCACTTCTTAAGTACAATTCCTCAATTTTACTTGGAGGGAGTTTTTTAAAACGTTCGAGGAACTCAGCCCTGCTTTTATGCAAAAGATCCACAGGCTAAAAAATATCGAATATATTGACGTAAATTACAAGTATCTTTAAATGTGAGCAAGCTTCTAGTGATCTCGGGCTGGTTAAGACATACTTAGAGTCTGTAAACTGGGGATCTTCAAAGTTTTCTAGATCTATTCGAGGTATATTTTGATTGTCTGACATCTATTTTGAACTAAGGAAAAAATGAGGAAAAATGCATCGAATACAATTTATTGAAGACAAACCACTCTTTATTTGTGGAAACCTCGGTCCAGTTATCGCGTCCGTGGCAACCAAGTCAAAACATGACAGTGACCTTAAGTGTTGCTTTAAATACTTTATTCTCACAATAGACAGTTATAAAATATTTGGAATCTTAGAACTCGTATTATATTTCAAGGGAGGCTTTTGACTGAATTGAGCATAAACACTGTTTTAATGTCTAGTTTTCACTTTCATTACATTTACCAAATAGCAAGCAAATATAAGATAAACTAACTACATTTGAAAGAGAAATCAAATGGTAGAATAGGAGGAATACGAGATATATCACGAGACGCGTGCAGGATTATGCTAATGAGAGCAGTAGCATTTTACCTTATATATTAGTTGGAAAAGTATACAGAATATGATTGCCTTTCTGTAAACTCTCTGGTTTTCCTACATGCGAGCCTTTCAAGAGCACCTGAACAAACTATAACTGCTTGTATAAACTTTAGACACAGGTAATAATATAAAGATGTCACAGGTATTCGTAGTTTGACATCGCCTTCATATGCAACGCCTTTATAATTGAAGTATACCAACCCGGGCAAATCAGAAGTCTGAAATGAAGGAGTTCAAAGATATATTTGGAAGTTAATTGATAAGTCGAGAATTGTTTTGTCTAAGTTGGCTAACAATTGCAAGAGATGCGTAGCATGACGTACACATTTGTGATATGGTGGGGATGTGTGATCGACCGCCTTCAGCTAAGTGAGTCCAGTGAAACTAATAAGGTCAGCATTAGCGTCGAAGATTCATCAAAAAATTTATTTCGGGGATATATTTACCGGTACAAATGTTATTTTTCATCATCAGTGTATGTGAACTGCATGCAAGTGAACAGCTACGTTTTCTAATCGTCTAATCTTGTCAAGTTTATATACCAACATCTCTATCGCACGGCTGGGTGTAAATTTGACGTTTACAAACCACCTTAGTGTATCGTATTCATAAATCACGGCTATGTTTTCGCTTATTTAGATGAACAATTCTAGGTGTTGTCGAATAATTTATATTGTGAGTATGATTTTTACTAGTAGTAACTTTTCTTCAGTCATGACTGAGTGCACTACGCTCGATACATCCATGCCATAATGGAATGGTATTTTCATTTTAAAAAACGTTTCATTTTTCCTGTCATCCAGCAAAAGTGACAGAAAATGAAACACTCACTTCATTATTCATGACGGTAGAGTAAATGATGAATTCCGCTTCGTTGCGGTTGGTTGTCAGGTGCAATGGCGAAATTGCGAACGGAAGTGAAGTTTATGCGCATACTATCACACCTATTTGTTACTCCGAAACACATAGGAAATCTTAGTTGACTCATCTCATACTAATCTTAGTTTTGTGAACATTACTTGACAAACGTGACATTTATACTATTACAGGGAACCTTTACGCAATAAATTAAAGTTTTGCTGAAAAGAATTCTCGAATATGGGTCCCTTACACACTAAACGAACGAAGTTTCTTCGCGGCAAGTCTAAGTAGCACACTTCACTATCACTTATCTTGACCTGAATATCTTAGATCTAGAAGGGTATTTCATATAATTGTGTTATTTAATAGTATAACTGAGAAACAGAAATTACTGTAGTCAGCATCTATATCTATACTGATTGGCCATTAAAAGTTCACCCGAATCCTGCTACTGTAAACTTCCCGTTCAAATATAGTTCTCAATAAGGCTTTAAGATCAAAGTCTACCATCGCAAGCATAACGCTCAACCCACGAATGATCACCTCACTGCCAAGCCACAATTGGTATATGGTTCTACACAGCAGGTTTAAGAAAGTAGCTATTCCTCACTTCAACAACGAAAAATGAGAACAATGATATTAAGATTCAGAGCGACTCACCCAATCTATTTGCAATATCCCATTTCCTTGCTAAGTGTGGTATGTAAACTGAAAAACTACAGCACATTGAGACTCTCTCACCCTGCAGAGCAGCGGAAGTCATAATGTACTTATATTGTTTCATAAGCCAATAAATTACCAGATCCTTGGATATATTTCCTCCAATTGGGCAGAAATAAACGTCTTAAAGGCCTGTGGCATTTGGAGTGTCCTACATGACTGCCAAAGATTGGGGGGGAACTGATATTCCAACTAGCCAGTTCCGCCTCACTTCAGTTCAACCCTCGACATGGCGTTTTATTACAATGAGATGCTACATCATAAATTGTAGCAGTCGAAAAATATACTTGTTGTTGCAGATTGAATTTTCCTGTGAAGACAAATGCCCAATAAGTCTAATCCGTCCATATCTAATGATTAACAACAGAATCGAAACATGAACTTGCGATTCCTTTCAAATCAGTCATATAACGTCTTGTACCGGGTCATATATCTCAGATGTTAATGTTAACTGGATTATGCAGAACAGGCTGAGTTGCATAAACTTCAACCTAAGCAATATCGTCGCTGCCGTCAAAATCACCAGATCCAACGCAAGCTCAAGTGATGATATCCAGTTGGTTTACTGTAGAAAGGTAGGGAGAAACATTTTAAAACCACTTATTGATGTACTTACACTGCTTTCGGAAGTATGAACTTGTGTAATCCCTTAACGCAGATCAGAAACAAAGAACCTTATCCAAGACAACATATCAACAAATATCACTTCTGTTATCTTACGATTAGTGGAAGAAACAAAAACGATCAATTATCTGACCACATTCTTTCTGGTGTCCTAACCAATGCTTTTCAGTGTGCTTTTCTAAATTGCACCTCGTCCACTTTATACCTAATGCATTTCTTTGATTAGATTTCTCGGATTAGTGATCAAAAGATGGGAATAGTACTATACTTTGAAATGAAAATGCATTCAGAAGTCAACCACCAGGTTGGTCTAAGTTGATTTTTCCGAGTCAGTACCACATAACTAAAGTTAATTTTCTTACATCTACACCTAGGCTTATTACTAATCGTGCTGTAGGAAGAACCGTCCTTGGCCCGTTTTATGCGTCAACACTATATACAATTGCTTCTTCGTATGTAAATCGTATTTATGTGTTGATGAAATTTACTCATAAGATTGAACTCATGGAATTCAGAAGTGATTTACAAACAATACAAGATTAACTGAATGAGGTAAATATTCCAACTTGGAGTCTAACAGTTAGAAGTGCAGCTAACACTAAAACTTACACTTAGCAATACTTTATGGTCTAGTCTCAAATCGAAAACTGGCCAAGAAGTGAAATACTTTCACGTCATAGACTTCTCTGAACATTTGTCAGCTGAAGTATCGAAATAGAGATTATTAGGAGTCGTTGGGTGAAATTTCCATCTAAATAAGTAGAAATTCTTCTATACCAGAGTTGTGCTAGATCTACGTTTGAATATTTCCCTTTCATTTTACGGATTTACGCCTACTTTCTGAGATCGAGGAGGGAGAATTCCAGTAGTACTTGAAATTACATACCGCTGTCGGCAAAGATGAACCTGATTGTTTTCTACTGACTAACTGCTAGTCTGAAATTCTCAAACATGATTCGACCGATGCAAAATAATCCGTTTTTATTCTTCGTGAATTCTAGTAGCCGAAAAAGATAAACGAAGTTGTGGAGTTCATTAAAACTAAAGTACAAATATGAAGCACTGAATTCACGAATGTTTCCGCGAAAATAATAAATCTCCAATTAAAATACTAATATTTGAACGAAGAATATTCTCTTCGCGGTTTACAGTTATGTGTCCAAATTAATAATCCGAAAAGTGGCCAGGTTTAGGGCAACATCGTTTAAATTTAAAGCATGGTGAGGATAAGCGAAATACAAACGGTGAATAAAAAATCCCTGTCCATGAGCCTATAATCCAGAGGGGATTCGGCTAGCGAATTATTAACTCAGAGATTACACATAACAATCCGAAAATCACTCAACACCGGAGAACTATGATTAGTGCTTTCTATGTGCCTCATGGTGACGCCAAGGCTAAAAGATGAATTACCTAGAATGACCACCTTATTCTGTATTTATCAGTTTGACTGCTCCTGTGGAGCGAATTGTATTGGTCGGAATTCCAGGAATTTACATTTCCATGCTTGCGAACACTTCCCAGCATAGCTTAGCAAAGGTCTGGTGAAAAAAGTGAACAGCTCGGTACTGGCCCATTTAGTGCAAAGTGGTCATAATACCAGTACAAACTAATCCTTTCCAATTATTTATTGGGTTAGTAATTTTCGTCAGGACTTGTCAAACTGAAAGTTCTTCAAATGGCTGAAGCAGTAGTCATTCCGAATAAGAAACCGGAACCGCGCATACAAAAGAAATATCTTCAACCACTTTTCCCCTGGCCAACATCAGGACCTATTAACCAATAGTATTCTCATCTCACCTTGTATTGTTTACTTGTACGTTCCTATTGTTGTTTAGGACTGCGATCGATCAGTTTGTTGTTGGCATATGTGCATCGTACCTCGACATTCAGTCAGTCAGTCAGCTACAACGTAGGACCAGGCACATATATGCATCGGTCCAAGTTGCCATACCTCGTTAGCACAACAAGACGAACACCGGATTCATAGAAGTAATTAATTTAGTGGTGGTAGTATATAAAGAAAGGTTGTATATAAGGATATAGTACAGGAAGGAAGAGAGATATGAAGCAATTTTAGTCTCAAGGTTTAAGGGAAGATAAAGAGTGTATACACCTGCACCATTGTGATCGATTCTGATCCATGTCACACAGTCTCCAACCATTGGTTACGATAGTCACGCGGACCCCAACCAGGTAGTCTGCATCTGCCAACATGGCTCAGACTAGAAGTTAGTGACTTCAAACACTGATGCCATGTTTTGGTTTGGCCACCCCTAACTCTCTCCCAACCATCCGCTACACTAGTCATCATAGCGCGTCGTGGTAATCGGTGTTCAGGCATACGTAATACATGGCCCAACCATCTCAGTCGATGAAGATTCATCACCTTATCAACTGGATTACCATCGTTCCCTAATACCCTGTGTCTAACCTCACTATTACTTACCCGGTTATCCCAGCAGATGCGAGCAATATTTCTAAGGCATCTGTGGTCAAATACTAGTAACC